CGAATGAACGATTTCATGACAGAAAAAGAAAATGGTCATAGATGAGCTGCTTAAAATGACTAATGTAATGTGTGCTTTGATGCTAGCTGTACTCAAAACTTTGGTTCATCTCTAAGAAAGGCAATACGATTTGAAACAGTGAAATCAGTTCATGAGGAGTTTAATTCATACTGCTTTTCTTGTGTTTACTAGCTTATCAAATCTGAATAGTTGTGTTTTTATCATATCTATCTGCATATGATTTCTTTCAATCCTTCTTCTCGTATACGCTCTAAAACAGTCCCACTCTGTACTCTGCAGATCTTTGAACTCTAACAACTTTATTGGAGGAATACCTGCTACCGTTGGCTATCTGACAGAGCTTTATTGGCTGGATTTAGCTGACAATAAGCTTACAGGAACAATTCCAGTCTCTAATGGGAGCAGTCCTGGTCTTGATTTGCTTGTTCACACTAAACACTTGTACGCTTCTCCTTTTTCTTGATATTGTTTTTGTCTCTCAACTGCATTTTCTAAGATTCTACATTTCTTCAGTCACTTTGGGAAGAATCAGCTATCCGGTGAAATTCCAGCTGGTCTTTTCCATTCTAATCTGTCCCTTATACATCTGTAAGTCCCAATCTTGTTTCTGAAAGTAGTCATGCGGAAGATCTTGATAATTATATCATAAAAAACTTTCCCTTCGACCATGCTTTCCGGTTTCCTCATGGTGGTATATTCTAACTTCTAGGCTAGTTGAGAACAACAAGTTTACTGGAAACATCCCGGATACATTAGGACTTGTCCAGACGATGGAAGTGCTGTAAGTATTGTTATCTTGTGCTTTCCCTTTGTACTCTAGTAAAGTTGCTTGACTCTATATACCTTATGAATTGTTTGTGAACTAAGCTACTGGTCCTGTCAATAGTCGTCTTGACAGGAATTCACTTAGTGGATCTGTGCCACAAAATCTCAACAATCTCACACACGTCAATGAACTGTAAGTAGAAACTGAAATAATTTTCTGAACTTACTGCATCTCCTTATGATTTCCTGATGTAGTATATATTGACTATATATTACAGACACATGTCGAACAATAATTTTAATGGTCTTTTGCCGAATCTTACTGGCATGAATGTCCTCAACTACTTGTAAGTTGCTTATCTTAAGTTTTTTGCCTTTATCCCTTTGAGTTGATTATCCATTATTCCTCAACGTTGCGCTGTAAATATTTCACCTCAATCTATTTGTTCTGTAAATATCACCATCACGGGAACTTATTTTTGCAGGGACATGAGCAATAATTCATTTAATGCTTCAGATTTTCCATCATGGATCCCGAACCTGATATCTTTAACATCATTGTATGCTCTCTCTCTCTCTCTTACCTTTTTTTTTGTGTGTGTATGCGTGTTTGGGTATGCACAGCTATGAGCAGGTGCAAGTGCATGTTTATTCTGTTCTATTGTATGCCTACATCCATTTGAATATGGACAGTTTTCCTGTTTTTTCTTCTCATTCTTATGGATTCAATTCCTAAAAGTTCTTTTAAGCCTAATGAATGACCTTATATTGGCAGGGTAATGGAAAACACAGGACTTCAGGGAACAGTTCCAGCGAGCCTTTTCAGCCTTTACCAGCTGCAGACAGTGTAAGTGTCCCTTTTACTTTGTGTCGTTATTGTACAGACTATAGATTGAGAATCTGAAGTTAAATTTATATTAACTGAAATGGCCTAACTCTGTATTATGTTGAGATTTGATGACAAAGTGCTCATTGCTTGCAGCATCTTGAGGAATAACAAACTCAACGGCTCACTTACAATTGATACAACATATAGCAACCAGTTGCAGCTCATTGATGTGCAAAGAAATCTTATTGAATCATTTACTCAAAGACCAGGGTACCCCTTTCAGATAATGTAAGTTCTATTCCTTGATACTTCGAGCCATAAACCACTAAGTTGTTGAGAAACACATATGTTGGACAGTTCTGTTGCCTAGCTTATTATGAGATATGATTTATATCATTTTCATTAGCTCATTTCTTTACGTTTTCCCTCTGCAGGCTTGCAGGTAATCCTTTTTGCAACGAAGGAGGAGATGGGACACAAGATTACTGTGTCAAAACTCAACAAACTGAGACATATTCAACCCCACCAGAGAATTGCTTGCCAACTGACTGCAGCTCTAATCGAGTTTCTAGTCCTACCTGTAAATGTGCTTTTCCATATACAGGAAACATAGTCTTCAGAGCTCCTTCCTTTTCAAACTTGGGAAATAGAACTACTTATGAGACTCTCCAAAAGTCCTTGATGCAAACCTTTCAAAACCGTCAACTGCCCGTGGAATCAGTTTCCCTCAGTAACCCAACAAAAAATTTGGATGACTACCTTGTAATACACCTGCAAGTTTTTCCATCTACCCAAGATTTTTTCAATCGAACTGGAGTTTCTGGAATAGGTTTTGTGCTTAGTAATCAGACTTTCAAGCCCCCATCATCATTTGGACCTTTCTTCTTCATTGGTGAAGGCTATAAATACTTTGACGGTAATAAAACTAGTTCCTTTGCCTATTTATCACTCATCTCTCATCTACGACATATATGTGCAGCCTAATCTATAATTAATATAAATTGTAAGTGAGCCGTTGGAGCAGCATCTTAGTGAAGTTGATAGTTAAGAAGTCTGAGTCTATGTATATGCTGTTCTCCAGGGGCATCCTCCGAATCAAAAAACTCAAGCAGTACAGGCATTATTATTGGAGCGGCAGTTGGTGGCTCTGTCATTGCAATTATAGCACTAATCATTGGAGTTTATGCTTTCCGGCAAAAGAAAAGAGCTGAAGATGCTGCAAAGAGGAGCGATCCTTTTGGTAAGATTTGGAACTATCTAATTAAATCATTTACTTATTACTTCAATCTTATGGTAGATGTTTGCTATCTTTCTTATTAATGCAGCATCCTGGGACTCGAACAAACATAGTGGTGCTGTACCACAGCTGACGGGAGCTAGATTTTTCTCATTTGAGGAGCTCAAAAAATGGACCAATAATTTTTCAGAAACCAATGATATTGGTTGTGGTGGTTATGGAAAGGTTAGCTTTTAGTGACATGCGCAACCCCCTCCCCACCACCGTCATCACAACTGACAATATCAATATATGAAGAAGTTTGTTTGTACCAGCTTCTCTCTCCCCTGAAAAGAAAATTTCTTGACTGCAATTGGAACTGTATTGAGTTTTTAAACTGTAGAAGTGTGCCTCTCCAGGTTTACAGAGGAACTCTTCCAAATGGAGAATTGGTTGCAATTAAAAGAGCTCTACAAGGGTCTATGCAGGGTGCACACGAGTTCAAAACTGAGATAGAGCTTCTCTCAAGGGTTCATCACAAGAACGTCGTTGGCCTTGCTGGCTTTTGTTTCGATCAAGCTGAACAGATGCTTGTGTACGAGTACATTCCTAATGGCACCTTAAAAGACGGTCTTTCAGGTATATGTTGGTCCCTTCTTATTTATTCACTGAATCTAGCTCCTTTTAACTAGATCAAAACAGAAAATGTACATTTCGAAAATGTAATGAAATTTGCACTTGTAGGCAAGACTGGCATCAGGTTAGATTGGATGAGGAGACTGAGGATAGCCGTTGGAGCAGCCAGAGGTTTGCAGTATTTGCATGACCTTGTCAATCCTCCCATCATACACAGGGACATCAAATCCAATAATATTTTGCTGGATGATCGCCTAAACGCAAGAGTTGCTGATTTTGGCCTGTCCAAACTTCTAGGTGACTCTGATAGGGGTCACATTACCACTCAAGTCAAAGGAACAATGGTGAGTAAAGATTCTATGAACGCCTTCCTGAACTTGTTTCGTGTTAGAATATTATAGACCTGTATCCCTCAAATTTCTTATGTCCAGAAAATTCAGAAATTCAATCATGTGTCAATAATTTATAGTAAAGTAATAACGATTACAAACACTATCTCATTGTCTAATAAATAAACAGGTACATTATTTACCTCATAATAATGTCCTTTTGATGGATTTGTCAGGGATACATGGATCCTGAATATTACATGACAAACCAGCTGACTGAGAAGAGTGATGTTTATAGTTTCGGAGTGGTGCTGCTTGAGATAGTTACAGGAAAAGTTCCTATTGAAAAAGGAAGATATATTGTCAGGGAAGTGAAGACTGCAATGGACAGATCAAAAGACATGTATAACCTTCAAGACATTTTGGATCCTGCAGTTCGCGCAGGTGCAACTCCTAGAAGTTTAGAGAAGTTTGTGGATTTAGCACTCAAATGTGTTGAAGAAGAAGGAGCCAACAGACCTTCAATGAGTGAAGTGGTGAAAGAGATCGAAAATATCATGGAGATGGCGGGACTGAACCCGAATGCAGACTCTGCATCTTCTTCAGCAACTTATGAAGGACCAAACAAAGGCATGAACCATCCATATACTGATGAAAGTCTCTTTGTGTATAGTGGAGCATATCCTAATTCAAAGGTAGAGCCGAAGTAAGATCAGTGTTATTATGGTTTTTCTTAGCTTGTGGAATTAAGATTGACACATAACATGCTTTGGCCTGTTATGTGTGTACAAATTTGAGAGAATGCAGAATGATTCAACTAATTTTGTCATTGGAGTAAATTACTGTACAACAGTGAAGATATTGAGTTTATTTATTTTTGGGAACATTTACTTTTACCTTCTGTAAAAACTGTGTAAACTTTTTTTTCTGATATCAATTAGGATGATCATTTGTATATGAGAATTCACATATTTTCATCCTAATATAAATTGTGCATTCAATGTAACTCTCATGGTGTTCAACTTCCATAAAGCATGTGGAAAAGATTATTCAACTGTCCCCTCTTGGCATTAACTAGTTGACAATGACCCTTAAATCTAAGTTTCCTAAAACAAGAAATTTTACCTTTAAATTTTCATTAAAAAAAAATCATGAGATTGTTAATGTTCATTCTATTTAGGATTAACACCCAATATCGCGAAATATTCAATATTTGATTGATGTAAAGAAAGGAGATTACAAGGTGGGAATCGTACCTCACCGGTGAAAGTGTAAGAAGCCAAACAGAGAATAGGGTTATACACATTTCAAGCTGAACGAGTAATGTTTAAATGATGACATTCTTCTTCTTCTCCAACTTCACGATATCATCCTTGCTAGTTTGATCTCTCGAATTAGACTGGTTACAAGTCTACCATTCATACTATGGAGAAAAGAATATACGTTCATTCCGGACATTGAGAAGGAAATGTATTATGTTTAAGTATACAAAAATTTAGCAGGTTGATATGCTCGGTTATCAGTGAAAAAGAAGGTTAAAGGTAGATGCGAACATGACAGTGAAAAAATTAGAAAAAAGAACACTATAATATGCATGCTACTATGCTAGGAGAAATATATACTATTGTGTCACAATTTATGCTCTAAAGGACAAAAAAAAGTTGAAATATTGTAAAGAAAAAGAAAATACAAGGCGAGGTAATAGAAAAAGAAGCTGAACAACCCATTTATTGTTCTCTGAAGAAGTACTTTGACCCGCCCTGCCTTATCCTACCGCTTTAAGAGTTTGCCCTGCCCCGCCCTAATTGCCAGTTGAAAAGTCTCTATTTTGAAAATTTAGAGAGTGAGTTAGCTAAAAATGGAACAATCCTTCATCCAACTGTAAATGCATCAGATAGCTATCATTGATAGGCAGAACTTGAAAAGGGATTTGAAGTTGAAGTTGTCTTCTTGATTTTAATTTGTGGAGTTGATCACATGGTAGTTTCTCTGGCAATGACGCCGCAAATTCTAGTCTATTTTCTGGTTGTTCTGATCCATGTTCTGTCAATAGCAGCATGGACTAATCCTGTTGATGGTAAGTTGCTTTTGTTCTACATCTTCTCTATCTCAATTAACCAGTGTACACTAATATTTGGTTGTCTGTGAGTACTATCTTAGTTTTCCTTTTTGTAATCATATGAAGAGCTTGCCTCTTAAAAAAAGTAACAAATAATCCAGAGATTATGGAAAATATTTAATAATCTTGAGGGAACATTAAAAAATTTTCCTGCTCTCTTCTAGATATGGTCAATTAAGTGTTCTAGTATAGAAGAACTGATTCAATATTTTATACAGCTGATGCTTTTAAAGTCTCTCACAAATTGTTGGTATGGTCGTTCCGATTGGAATGGAGCAGAACCCTGTGGGAGTAGTTGGATGCAGAACTTCACGAGTGAATTCAACATGTATCCCTTCGTCAACTGCTTAAAATTACAGAAATCATGCCATCTTTCTCAATTTCAGAAAATTGTCATATCTGGAGACTCTGCATCTACTTCATTCCACTTCAGCTCCAGCATAGGAACATAAGCTACAGTAACTGTGATCACAGGCAGAAGAGTCCTCCTGGCCTTACAACTCTGAATATGTCATATTGAGTGAACTCAAGCATGCATATCCAGGATCCAATTGTTCAGGAGTGCACGATATCCAGAGTATTCTTGAAGGAAGGAAGCCTCTGGAAGACGCGAATTTGCAATGGTATCATCATATAAATCCCCTTTGATGCAATGAAGTTGTTGAATGGACCATATAAATCCATGGAAGTTGTTACCATGGTTACATTCCTTTCCTATATCCTAGCAACCGTACCGAGGAATTCTATTGCACTCTGTGCAGTTATGGTTATTGATCCCGCAGAGTTTACCCAAAGGTTCAAGCCAGATCATACAAAGTGGGCGACACGTTTTTGTATTTCTACGAGAAGAAGTTGTCGCATATAAAAGATGAGAATTTCTTTTTTTAGATTTAAATAGAGATAGTCCTAGATCGAAATATTAGGAATCAAAGCAAGAAAAGTAGCATTGATGAAACGGAGGATCATACCTTCAGCGAAGAAATAAGTTGACCAGCTGAAAGTTTTTGAAATCCCTACTTGTATGCAAAAAGAATCCAAAGAGTCTGATGGCTTTAAAGGATAGGGGTTCAATTGTTCCCTGACGCCTGGTTGCCATAACCTGATACTTAATTTAACATGTTATAACAGATTATCTACTGCTTCATGTATCTGTCTTATTATGTGTGACGATGTTATTCTTTACCTTTGGAGAGTCATGCATACAATTTATTTTCTTATTTCTATTTTAAAAAGCATTTTGAAATATTAGCTATGTTAACTTGGAATACATTTTGTATTGATTTTAAATATGTTTAAATCTATATTCGAAATCATAATCAATATGAAATAAGGAAATCATTTTCAACACCTTATATTTTTAGGGGAAAAAAATCCAAAAATTTTAACCAATAAAGATTAATGAAAAAAAAAAGAGAGAAAAATTGTATTAATATCTTTTTCTCAATAAATTCTTTCCAAAATATGAATATAAAAGAATAAGGCTACTTGCCAAATTCCCTTTCTTTGGACAACCAATAATGAGTAGTGAGTGAACCCACCTTATTAAGAGCAACATATCTACCTTACTCAACACACTGGACCCAGGCCCTCGCTTTGCATGATCATAAAAAAGACCAATATTAAAGTCACAATAAATGATAGGCAACTTACATATTTAGCTGCTCACCCAAAAATAAAAATCCGCATATAAAAATATCTTCTATTTATTTTTTTACTGTTTATCTCTTCATATTTGACTTGATATATCATTTAAGATAATTCTGTATTCAAAAAAATTCAACTTTAAAAGTTTAGTCAATTTTTATACTCCATAACGTAAAAGATTTTATTTTATATATATATATAAAATAAGGATGTACTATTTTTTTCGTCTTAGAAGAGACAAAAACATTCTAAGAGTATATAATGGGGTCCAATTACTGCATGTTGTAAGGTGAAATATATAACCTTACATAAAGGGAACTGTGATTTTTAGCCCCTAAAAGGGTCTCTGTTTTCGTGGACTTAGACTTACTTAATTATTACCAATAGGAATAATTTATTTTATTATTTAGGTATAAATAATTTTAGAATTATCTAATATTTTCAGTTAAACACGCGATAAATTAATCCTATAATTTATTTTTAAAATTGTTATTTTATATCTCACACCAAATGAGTGCTCGAGTTTACGGTTAGAGAAGACTTAGTATACGGATAGAGATATTATCCTCTTGCTGTTCATAGAACAGTTTAATCCTCAAAACAAACCAAATATTTTGTGGTTTCTCTTTCTTCCCATTAGTCTTTTTTTTTTTCTCTCTTCATTTTATTATATTTGTTGGCTTCTAAGAAGAAACTTAGTTTAATTTGCATGGTGGATTTAAACAATGGTCCAAACAAGAACAGTCCAACTGATTATCTTTTGTCTGCTTATTATTTCTATGCAAGTTTTGATTCAGCTGGAAGCTTCAACAGATTCTGGTGACTGTAAGTCATAAATATCACATCTCTTTTCCTTTTATTTTTTTAACTCTATAATCATCGATTTAACTTATAAACACCATATCGCGAATAAAAAATAACGTTATACTAGTACCTACCATAATTTAACATGTTATATCGTAAGTTTTCTTTTGATCCAATCACTTATTGTAAATAATTATGTTTTAGATGATTTGAGTTGTGAAGGCAAATTGTTTTTATTTTTTTTACTACGGAATATATTAATTTTCACTTTGATTCCTTTTTCGAGTTCATTACTTAAAAGGTCATTCGATTATTGGATACAGTAATATTTTTCGTTGTTTTGTGTTAGAAAAGCTAAATATGATTTTCTTAATCAATTTCGTTTCGTATATTCTGATTTTTTTAAAAAAAATAATTAGGGTATGGTATTTTTTGGTTGAAAAATAGATGTTGTGTTAGAGTCACTGAAGGAAGAATGGGAAAACGTACCTCCAACTTGGGATGGGTCTGATCCTTGTGACGATCCATGGGAAGGAATCGACTGCAACAATTCACGTGTTATATCTATGTAAGTTTTTTTTTTTTTGTGATTAAATGAAAATTATTTAAATGAGAATCATATTAATTCAAATATTATTTTTTACAAAAATAAAAATATTACTACTTTAAATTATTATTCCTAGATTTATGATTAAAATGTTGAAAATACAAGTGCACTCGTCAAGAATTCCATTTTTCCTTAGCACGACAACGTCACATGTTTAATTCAATGTCCACCCACATCATTTGTGCCAGCTAATAATATTTTTTGCACAATTTTTTTAAAAGAAAAAATCAAATTTTTAATACAGTAGAGTCTAGAATAAATAACGGAATTATTTTCAAAAATCAGCAAAATAATTTATTTATTTTAAAAACTACATCGTAAGAAAAATACAAAATAGGTAACTGTCACTGTATTTGCTCTTCCATTTTGGTCAGTTGATCATGCGTATATATTTTTTAAAAAAAAGAAGATTTGTTATCTGTGGCGCGTGAATTGAATGTTTCACTTCAACTCGAGTGTTTCATTCTACACTAAAGAATTTAGATTTAAAATTTATTTAGGGCTTCGATACGTGAGTGTTTACGCTTTAACTTAGAAGTTTCGGATTTGAAAATTTAGGGAGACTTCAGATACGAGCTGACGGGATGGGAAACCCAAAAAAATTTATTATCTAATGAAACTAGGTTAATATCAAACCTTATTAATTTTAATTATTAAATATTAAAATGGCATTGCTAATTGTCTTTGTAATTTTGAGGTACTAATTAATGATTGTGAATTTCAGAAAATTATCAAGCATTAATCTGAAAGGAGAGCTATCTGGAGATATCGAAGGCTTGTCTGAATTGCAGATACTGTATGTCTTCTGCTCATCATAATTGAAAGTGTTAAAATTTGAAAGAAGAAAAAATTGTCTTAGTTATGTTTGCTCTGTTTTAATTTATTTATCTGATTTAAACTTGACACAAATTAATAAAAGTAAATAAATACTTTTGAATCTTGTGTGGTAACACGGTCATTTTTGTCTTTGTGCTTGCCAAAGTGTTCCGAAAGGATTCATTACAAAAAAACATAGTTTAATAGTTTGATTTGGTGCGATAAAATGAAAGTTGAGTGATCATATGTTAAATTAATCATGATCTTGAAGCACCATTTTGCCTGTGATCATGCATTGCATGCACAAATATTCTTGACTGTTGAAAGTTTTAAAATTCTATTCTGATTATCCGTTTCCTTAATAGGGATCTATCATACAACAAAGGCTTGACAGGTTCACTCCCTCAATCAATTGGAAATTTGAAGAGTTTATCAATTCTGTAAGGGTATTATTACATGATAATGGTTAAATGCTGTTAATTCACAAGCTGATTTATTAGAGTAATTTCTCCGAATTCGTAGGATCCTTGTTGGCTGTGGGTTTTCTGGACTGATACCAAACACAATTGGATCCCTAAGCCAGCTGGAATTTCTGTAAGGATATCAATTTCTTCTATTTGCAACTTTTTATGCTTAACAAATTCAAGATATTGAGGCTATGGAGTATTGGAAGAGCTTTAGTACTTTATGTTTTGTATAATATTGGCCATTTAGCATGAGATGAGTTGGATGGAGTAACTTGGTCAGTGAGTATTTATATAGCCGACCCCAACTTGTTTAGGACTGACACTTAGTTCTTTTTGTTGTTGTAGTAATTGTTGTACCCCTTTACATTGTCAAACTGTGAAGTCTTAGAGCTTCAGGTCTCTATTCGGCTACATTTCTAAAACACTATCTGAATCATGCAGATCTTTGAATTTAAACAACTTTATTGGACCGATACCAGCTTCTGTTGGTAATTTATCAAAGCTACGTTGGTTGGACTTAGCTGATAATAAGCTCAGTGGACCTCTTCCAATTTCCCGTGGAAGCACACCTGGTCTAGACATGCTTGTTCACACAAAGCATTTGTGAGTAATACTGATTACTGTCTGTTCATTAAGTAACATCTTCGTCTCTCATTTTCATCTGATATACCACTTACCTCACAGTCACCTGGGGAGAAATCAGTTCTCAGGTGAGATTCCAGATCAGCTATTCAGCTCAAATATGACTCTCAAACATTTGTAAGTTCCACTGAACTGGAAGTGTGTTTATATTTTGACAATTATTTGATGGATCAACTTCATTATTGTCCCACTCCTACGCTATGGTGGTAGCTCTGACACTCGTACCAAACTACTCCCATTTGGCTAATGGTTTCTTCTGTTTGGGTCTTGTAATTGCACAGGCTGCTTGAGCAAAACCAGCTTACTGGAAAAATACCCTCTTCATTAGGACTTGTGCAGACTCTGGAGGTGGTGTAAGTATTTCCAAAATCCATCATGTTCTTAAGGAACTCTAATAAATGTGCCATTTTTCTTGCTTTTGATTACCTGTTTTTACTAACTAGATATCCATGTATACTGTAGTCGTCTTGACAGGAATTCTTTAGACGGAACAATTCCATCAACCCTCAAAAGTCTCACACTTATGAGTGAACTGTGAGTAGACAAGCATAATGTTAATATTACTTTGATATGATCTCTTTTTTTTAATGAGTTTATCAGACCATCTATAAATTTTCTATATCACTTGCAGCTTCTTATCAAACAATAAATTCACTGGCCCCTTGCCTAATCTCGCTGGCATGAATGCCCTCAACTACTTGTAAGTTCCTTGACATACTGATGTTCTGATTGGAACTCTATTCTGCTAAGAAAATGCATCAATCTTGATGTTGTGATATCACAGATTATGTCTTTAGATTACTTTAATTTGATTTTGTGTCCAATGGTCATGTTTTGCAGAGATATGAGCAATAATACATTCAGCTCAGCTGATTTTCCACAGTGGTTTTCATCTTTGCAGTCATTGACGACTTTGTATCCATCTCTCTCTTGCTTTCGCTTTATCTCTTAACACATGCATGTGTGTATCTGTCCCTGAGTTCAAGTGACTCAGCAGAACTCACATGCATCTGAGCGTACATGTTATCTAATGAAGTGTTTCATAGAGTTTGTTATGCACCTCATTTGTATTTGTTCTGCTCATAGGGTAATGGAGAACACTCAACTTCGAGGAGAAATTCCGCCAACCCTCTTCAGTCTTTTTCAGTTGCAGACTGTGTGAGTGTTCTTTTACTTTTAGGCCACAATGCATGTCATGCAACTATTCTCATTTTTTGCTGCGTGCTAGACTTGTAACGAAGTTTGAGGTAGTACAAAGTGACCTAGTATATGATTCTATGTTTTGTATTTCAATTTTACGACAATGAGGTGGTTATTATGACAGCAACTTGAGGGGAAACAAGATCAATGGAACCCTGAATATTGCATCCAACTATAGCGGTCAATTAAAACTGATTGATTTGCAGAACAATTCCATCGATTCATTTACAGTAAGACCTGGATTTTCTTTTCAAATAATGTAAGTCCTCGAGTTACTTTTTCTCCACTTTAGCAATGAGAAAGAAATGCTGGATCATTCATGTTAGGACATTTGATTCTTCTGAATACAATTTAGTCGTTTAACAATCTCAGTTTTCTACTTGTTCACTTGGCA